CAAGTACTCGTATACGAGCCTGCAAAAAGCCCATACACGATAGCAAACACAAACAGCGGGCCTAGCGAAACACTAAACCCCCAGATCAGAAACACTCCCACGGTCGAACCCACAGTCGAGACCAGAATACAGGTCGTCACGTCCCACCGGTCGATAATAGCCCCCATGACTACGCACCCTACCACGGACGCAACGTTAAATAATATCACCGTGAGAGCTTCCAAACTGCCAGACGAGACGCCGATGGCTCTTGCATATGAAGGCAGATAGATAGACGGGAGGAAGTACCCCACTGCTTCTATCATGTTGAATAGCTCGAAAAGGAGGAATGTTCCTGATGTCCAGAGGAATCGGATCTCCTTGAGTCGTGGTCGTGGTGAATGTTCTTGCTGTTGTGTTGGGTCGGTACTATTCCGCAATGCAGGCGGCACTCTAGGCTTAACGAACCATACCAACGGGGCTGTCAGCACGAATAGCACGACTGCGAACCCGCGCAACGCTATCCGGAACTCGTATCGATCGAGAAGCGTCTCCATGACGATGGGGAGGATCGCGCCGCCTAGACCGGTGCCGGCCCACATGACGCCGAAGGCGAAGCCTCGGCGTTGGTCGAACCAGTCTTCCATTAGGAGGATGCAGGGTGAGTAGGCGATGCTTCCGCCGATGGCGTAGAAGATGCCTTGGGAGATGATCAGGTGGGTGGTGGTTGTGGAGAGGGAGGAGAGGCCCAGTGAGAGACACATTGTTAGGACGCCGAGGGCGCAGCCCAGACGTTGGTAGTGAGGGTAGGTGCGGTAGAGGGTGAAGATTATGGGGAGGTCGAGGTACATTATTCCCTGTTTTGGGGTGCTTGGGTTAGTTTGGGGGGAGAGGGATGGAAAGGCTGACTTACCATTGCGCATGTACCGATGATGGCGATGTTGTTGGAGTTTTGGAACATGGGAAGTGTGCTGTAGTAGTCTTGGAAGACACCATAGGTGAAGGCGAACCCCCAGACTAGGGCTTCCATGACGAAGCAGGCGGCGAGGAAGAACCAGGCATCTTTGCCGTGATCGATGGGTGGGAGGGGGGTAGAAGACCGGTTTGTTGGATCATGGGGTTTTTCGTTAGGAATATCTTCCTGGTCTGATAGTCTGGCCATGATGGATACTATGACAGAACGATAGTATGCAATTGAAATTGAAGAAGAGTGATTGTCTATATCATAGTATGTTTAGACAGCATGCATAAATGCAGAAAGTATGTAGTCTGGGCAACCGGATTGAACGAGCAATCCCTGTATAATATGTCCTATCCCCTATCCTCAAAGATTGAAATCAACAGAAAAACCTATCTTATATTGATCAGGTACTGTGAACTGCGCTTGGGCCATGTCAGCGACGCCCTATCATTGACATGCTCCCGTTCACAGCCCCCATTGGTGGAATAGATGCTAGCGTCTTCTGCATTGTATGCTTTTTGCGTAATATTGGCCTTACTATTAACTCATAACTAGCGGAAGTATACTTTTGAATATAGAGAACCGAAGTAGTACTCCGAAGAGGTTATTTCAACGTCAAGCTATGCGGCAAGTGGAAATTGTCCTGACTCTGTTTTACCTGAGATTGAGGATTTCACGCGAAAACGATCTTCGAGTATCAGTGTTCCATAATAGTGACGTGTCACATATCTTTTCAAATAAAATTGATTGACATAGATTGAGACGGTCTAACATTTTTTGATATAAATTGCCATATAGCCTACATTCCATTGAAGTCATCATATCTCCCATTTCAGGTAGGTTATCTTAGACAAAGTCCACACCACTACAAGTGCTCCTTGAACCACTGAACAGCCTGCAAGAAAGCATTCTCCTTAGCATACTGCACCGTGCGGTTGGCAGGGTCTCCACGGACAGCAAAGCCGTGCGCAACGCCGCTGTAAAGGTTGATCTGGTAAGGGAGACCCGAGTCCTTCAGGATCTCTTCGGATTCATGGCGCTTCTCAGCGGGGAAGATTGCATCAGTCTCTGCAGCAGCAATAGCCAGAGGGCCCTTGATGGCTTTCAGCTCCTCCGACTCGACGAAGGAAGGGTGGGCGGTGTATCCAGCATCGATCTGGCCGGGGCGGAGATGGCGCACAACGTACTTGCCACCGAAGCAGTAACCCACGGCACCAATTTTCTGAGAGATGTTAATATCTTTCCGAGTCACTTCAACTCACTCGTGGAAGCCATACCTTGCATCCATACTTGGTCCTCATCTCCTTGATGCATGCCTCGATGATAGGATCGACGACCTCGGGAGTATGGGGCTTCTTGTCCTTGTGGTATGCGCCACCCTTCCATGCCATGATATCGAAGCCGTCAGGGCGGTTGAGCGGGATGGCGTCGTTATCGAAGAGGTCAGGCATCATAACGAAGTAGCCATTAGCGGCAAACTGGTCGGCAATGAGCTGGGCGTTGATGAAGCGGTGGCCGATCACATCCGTGATGCTTCCTTTTGTTAGCTTGATCTTTTTTGGGGCATTGCTAAAGGCAGGACATACACCAAGATACCATTTTCGGTGGACTTGTCAGCAGGAGAGCTGGTGTATATCTCGAAATCATTGAGCTGCGAGAAGCTACCCTTGGCTTCACCTTCATGCTTGACGCCTTGGTAACAGCAGCTTCCAGCGGGGAGGGATGCCATGATTGCTTATCGACGATTTATGCGGTAGGCTGGATTGATCTTGGAATATTGAGCAGTGGAAAATCACAGTAACGCTGACCGAAGGGATGAGGGGAAGGGGACTAAATAGCGGGGCATGAGCTGCCACCTCCGACACACTCGGAGCTACTCATCCGTTATGTCCGAGACGATGTTAATTCCATGGTTAAGCTAGCTTCTCTCAGCCTAGATCACTGAGAAGGATTTATCTCAACGTAGACCAGCCACATCTACTGCGATTATATCGGCAAGCTGGAAACGGAGCTGCTCACCGGCATGCCGTCCGCATCATACATTTCCGAGGCCTTGATGCGCAGCAACGTATACGACGCAGATGATCGAGAAACCATACGTTTCAAACAAAAGTATCCACTTCGAGTATGGCTACAGTGAGAATCAAGCCTACCGTAAAATAACCATGTTCAAAGATGGAGCTCGGTCAAGGCAAGCTCGGGGTTCAGGTGTGATCAATCCAGTCAAAAATTACCAGGTACTCATATTGATAGAGCATGAACAGAGAGTACAATAGCATGGCAGGCCGTCGGTATCAGTAGATTTGCTTCACGAATAGCTATACATGATTGATGTTACCTTCCACCCGGACTTAGTCTGATGTTTTAGAGACCCTCTTTTGTTGCATCCTTCAGGATTTGCCGTCGGATCCGCGCAGCGTGCGGCATTTTAATAAGACTTACTCGTCACTTGATTCAGTAACCATGATGTTGGCCACATATTCAGCGGGTGTTCTCTGAATCAGGTCACCAAAGTTTTGCCAACTTCCAGATATGTGGCCGCTGCCTTACTGGATTGGAGAAACGGCTTCGTGCATGTCTTCGGGCCGAGTTGCTCTTCGTTTTCCTGTACCAAACAAGGGGAAAGGAGTCTATCTTCCGGGCAAGGTCATTATGCGATAGATTCTGGGTGCTCCGTAGTAAGTTTTGTAATAGCAGGCTGCCCATAGTCAGCCCGATGAACTTGGTGAAGAATGTTGTGCAATCCGAAAATAGTTATATGCAGGTACACACGGACGTCTTGCAGCACATCTGTGATATGTAAACCGATCATCCCAGCTATAAATACTCTGGACCAGGCCTATAGACAGATCAAAGACAGATCAATGTAATATCCCAAACTGAGCATCGGTGCCTGAAACGCCAGATGCTACCAAACCCTTCCTGGAATGCAAAATAGGAGCTAGCTCATCCATACTTGCACTTGAGCTGACTCCGACTCCGCGTACAAGCCAAGTCCTATTCTATTTCTGGCAAGCAGAACCAAGCTGAGAGGGAAGAATAGGGATCACCGCATTAGTGGCCGCTCTCGTAAGTGACATGCATAATCGCGATGGGCTAAACGGTAAGGTTGCGATCTTCTGGAGCTTGCTTTGCTAGAAATTTGACATGTAAATATCAATAGCTGGAGTGGTGTACCAAAATTGGTCTCTTTGGCAGTCTTTATTGGTCACTACCTATGCGAGTATCTCTAATGGGCACATCCGAGGAAAAAGCAACTCTTCAAAGGCCGATCACGATCAGGATGTGATTAAAAGGGCATGCATAGAAAGACGCGGACGTTGATACTGACAGTCCATAAGCCCGTGTGGAAAGGCCCCGTGAGGAGATAGTATAGTATGGCCACCGTAGTTGTAATGTTTCAGAAGATAAAATTAAAAACGGCGTCGTGCAACAAGGTGTATAGATTGATGGCACTGGGATCTGCAATAGGAAAGAAGCGAGTGGCCGGGTGGCAATAAAGAGGGGCGGGGGGGTGGCAGCAAGGCAGTCATGGTGAGTGGCCTCACAAAGACTCAAAACAGGGGCAGATCCGCTATCACGTGACAGTATAATTTCCCATTGGTTGCGGCTCCGTCATGGAAGGATGGGACGGGATTCAGGGGCACCTTCCAGGCAGAGTGGACGATGCAATTCCACTACCGCCCAACTAGTGAGGAGGATGGAGCTGCACTATTTACCCTCAAAGGCAATCATGGAGCACCCGAACCACCCATGGATGAGTTTCAACTTACCTAAATTGACTATTCTTTGACACAGACCTGACACCACAGCACCCTCCGTCTATCCTTCCATCACTCTCCTTCTTTCTTCGCCATCGTTTCCATCGCGTTTCTACGGCTGCTTCTTTACCTGCGACGAAATTAAAGCCGCGGACGGCCCTGCATCCCACCTCCATCTTTCCCCCCAGCGCTTGCCATCGTCATCCCCGCCGATCGTGCAGCCCCTGTCATTATCCATCCATCCCCATCGGACTCAATAACCCAAAAGTGGTCCCTCCCTACCTGCCCGGTCTCCAGTAGTGCGACGGCGTCCGCAATTTTGCCGATTTTCCCCTCCAGCCATCGCTCAAGTCCTCGCTGCCCCCTTTTATAGTTATTACTTAGATCCCGGCTGGTCCTGGTTTCCGTCATCAAAGCTTCTATATAATCAATTTCTTCGAATCTTCGGTGATTTTTCTTCCTCGCCTTGTCCACTCTAGAATACTCTGAGCGCAAGGTCCACCCCGTCCGTGCTATCATATCCACTTAATAACCCCCTGTTCCGTTCTTGACGCGCGCGCTTCTAAACTCCTTCCCACGTCTTGGACTTCATTTCACATACTCCTTTTCCCCCCCTTCCTAACCTTCTCGCATTCATCTTACCCCCCTTTCGCTTCGATCCTCCATACCAGTGCTCCATAACCAACGCCCTTGACAACCACTAAACAAAATGTCGGACATCGATCAAGAATGGAAGCCCAAGAACCGTCCACAGTCGTTCGTTCTCCTCTCTTGCGACCTTCTTCTTTCCCCAACGTTGGTGTTGACCAAGACGTGGCAGGACCATGGCACAAGCCTTCTCATCCGCGCTGGATAGCGCCTTTTCGCTTGATTCCGATGTCAATCACCTTTCACAGACCATCGATCAAAAGTAGGTTCCACTTGGGTTGTTGTTGATTTGCGATCTTGTCTCGCTTCTAAGCTTGTGTCGATGCGGCGAAACTGACGAGCCTGTCAACCATAGGAGACACCAAATGATGATTCAGGAGCGAGAATTAGAACAGCTTCAGGCTAGGATCCGGGAAGCTGAGGAACGTCTCAAAGCCCGACAGTCTTTGGTCCTCGACGGAAACAACACAAGGTCTCCTTCGGCGCAACGAGGGGACCGGTTCTACCAGTCAGGTGAGAATTCCCAGCTGGACAACATCTGCCACGGTCGTCATTGTTGCTGACAGCGCTTGGTTGCAGCATCCACCTCAGCATCTACATCCCCCACGGATTCCGCCGGCCAATACTCCAGCGGCGACGAACAACAGCGTGGTCAGGGCCGCAACTCATGACTGCCTTTGACGGGCCGGGGTCGGTTATTATCAGCATATAATTTGGGTCAAGGTTTGGGATGGGAGATTACGGATTCGACTTCACTGCTTTCATCTTTTATATATCCTCATTTGGCGGGCATGTTTGGAGAAATCGGTTCTGTTGGCTTGGACGCTCCGTCATTGCTTCCCTCCACCACGTCAACGCCGATCAAGGCTTGGAGGGGAAACAACGCCGGCGCGGCTCACTTGTCGCTCCTTCCCCTGCTGTATTGGGTGGTGGCCACATCCGCCTCTGTGCGGGCCATCCCAATCTTCGAAAGTTTCGGAGAGACAGTCGAGCTTGTCGTCCAGTCAAATTTGGCGTTAAATATTGTTTACACAGTCAATATGTTGGCATTCATTTGGTCTTCAAATTTCTGGCATTTGTGTCTCAATATAGCGAAAGCGAAAGACCGGCATCCATGTCGGTCACGTAATGCGGTTATATTAGGGTGTCATGTTTGAACCTCATTCTTTGCACACCTATATCAGACGGGTGAGGGGTGGTCAATAGATCAAAACCGATAGCGTGCCGAAATACGCGCAGGTTTCCATGCACAGTGCAGCATATCTGGTGCCAATATAGGACAGCTGTATGCACTATAGAATCTGATATCAGTCAATGAAAGCCGATGCGGTCGCATCGCTGCAAGTTGAAAGCTTCCCACTGGCCTGATGCAGACCGCATCACGAATTGGGCCGACAACGTGTGGCTGCAAAGCGCACATCATCTTGTCAATATTGTACTTGAGGCGAGCATGAAGGTGGGGTAGTTAACCCAGGCCACGTTAATGCCACTAGCGGAGGATTTTCTTGCCCTATCGCGGGCCATCCGCCAACAGCGTTTGCCCCTTCCCTTGGACTATTGAAGGAATTGTTCCTATTCGGACTGCAAACATCCTCTGCTACCAGCAATGCCGCCACTTGTACTTGTACCGATTTCTTCTCCTCGAGCGATACAAGAAAAGAGGTAAACATACAATGCACCTCCATCTGTTGTCGAGGAGCGTCCGGCTATAAATTCACGCCTACAGGCCATCGTCTACATCACGTTTCTCTGTACCCAAGAATGAAGTCTGCAGGTTGTCCTCGCTGCTCGGACCTCCAATATGACGCGTCTATCTAAAGAAGAGGAGCGCGGTCGATTCAGCGAAGACCGTACGTCTCTGTCTCCCAACGGAAGAATTTCCGAGGGGAGGGCCTAGTCTGCTTCCCCATTGTATAGACGTGACTAGGTACTAGCGATGGGTATCAGATGTATGAGAGGACTACTTGGATGATCTGCTGCGAACATGGCTGCCAGCAAACATTCCCGTCGTCTTGGCGTGAGTGTCACCACATTGACATCTGCCTGTCCTGATATTAATATTGTCAACAAACTTGACTTTAGTGAGGCGGGTGGGCTGCAGGGCATATTAATGGTTTCACCATCAGCATCTGCAAGCCAAAGTCCGGCGAAGCACGACATTTTTAATGGGTGCTGGCCTGTCATCTGATCTGCTAGCCGAATATGGCGATGCCGGGCCTGCATGATGATACCAAACTCGTACTGTACAGTATAGTATGTATGGTATCCGTTGGGTTTGCAGGGCGGCCAGTATAGTGGCCTGAGTCTTGAGGTGGCAACGGAAAAGGGTATCTGAGCGCCGCAGCAGAAGAACAAGAATGAGAACATCAACAAGACAGGATGCTATTTTGAATCGTTCAAGCAATTTCTTTTATACCACTCTAAATCAAATTTATCATCTCGGATTTTATCAATATCGGCCCCGAGTGGAAATGAAAAACCTAAATTGCATTATCAACCAGCTTCACTCATGATTCTCCTCAGGTAGGACCAATGATGTCAGAATCATCCCCCGGACCTTGGAACTCCCCCCAGACAGAAAGCGCCCGAGCAACGGTCCAGACCCCCCAAAACGATAGATAACTGAGCTCTGAACTGTGAAGTGTCCTGCAGGAGCTGCGTCGGTGCGACCTACCATGTCAGCCACTGGTCCCTGAGCTCCCGGTCATTCCCTGTTCCTCTCTTGCGCCTTTCCCCAACCCCTCATCCCGGCCCTCCTCTTCTTCCCTTCGTCTCTTATCAGGCTTTTTCTTCCGTCTTCTCGTCCCCTCGATATCTCGGACTCCTTAATTCCTTCGTTGCTCTTTCTTCCGCGCAATTGTTTTCTTGGAGCTGGTCTTCTACTTCATCCACTTGAACTACTCAGCATACCTTAATCCCATCATGGTGCTCATTGATAAGCACGAGTACGTATCCCAAGAAGAGCGTCGCCTGAGAGAGGACCGTGAACACTCGCGGTACTGGAAACGATGGGGGCCGTATGTGGCAGAGAGGCAATGGGCTACTGGTATGCTCCTCCTCTACTACCTGTCTCATCCGAGTCGCGCTGGAAAGTACCTGGACTAATGACCATCCTTGATGCCCCGCAGTTCGCGAGGATTACTCGTAAGTCTTCAATTCATCCACACTCATTCGGTGTCTGGACTAGAATGCAAGCGACATTTACTGATTCTTCTGTTTCATCAATGATCAGGGAGAATGGAGATGCTTGGAGCTGTAAGTCCCTCAACTCACATGTGTGCCGCGCGGCCAGGGCTGATCAAATGATGTCTAGACTTCTCCCATGACCATGCGCGGTCTAGGACCTTTCGCTGGGGTGAGGATGGGATTGCCGGTGTCTCAGATACCCACAACCTGCAGAACATTGCCTTTGCATTCTGGAACGAGAAAGAGTACGTTGGGTCTACCCCGTTACGACTAATTGGATCTCAAGCTCACCCTGGTCTAGCGACTTTCTGAAGGAGCGCCTATTCGGTTTGTCGAATCCTCAAGGTAACCATGGCGAAAGCATCAAGGAAGCTCATTTTCACGTTGATAATACTCCGACGGTTTGTGCTTCACTTCTCCAAGGTGGACGGATCCCGCGGCCCTTCTGACTCCATTGCGCTCTCAGCATTCCTACATGAAATATCTCTACAAGTATCCCCAAAAGAAGTTTCCGTACAAGGAACTCGTGGAAGAGAATGGCAAACGCTCAAGGCAAGACCGCGAGTATCAAATTCTTGATACGGGAATCTTTGACGACAACCGATACTGGGACATCTTTATCGAAACAGCGAAAGAAGAAGACGATGAGGAAGAACTGCTCTTCCGCATCATCGCCTACAACCGAGGACCAGAGCCTGCCCCGTTACACATCATCCCTCATGTTTGGTTCCGTAACACCTGGTCCTGGGGCTATGAAGATCAGAAAGAGAAACCATCTGTCGAGAAGGTGCATCCCATGATAGCCAAAACATCCCATCATAAACTTGGGGAGCGATATGTGCAGTTCGCCCCCTCGCCGCCTGTTGGTGACGGTCAGGACGATGTATTCCCTCAAATGATGTTCACAGAGAACGAGACGAATAACGAACTGTTGTGGAACACCAAGAACAGTCAGCCATACGTGAAGGACGCCTTCCATCGCCTCATTGTCAATGGAGAAAAGGACACTGTCAACCCTGCGAACAAGGGTACCAAGTTCGGTGCCTGGTACGCCTTCAATGAGGGTGAAGGAATTCCTCCTGGAGAATGCGCTGTCGTTCGATTCAAATTTTCGCGGAAAAGGGGTACATTTCTGGATGAAGAGGTCCTCGATAATGTCATCGATGAACGCAGGGCCGAGGCAGACGACTTCTATTACCACATCAGCCCGCTTCCCATGAGCGATGATCTACGCAACATTCAGCGACAGGCATTTTCTGGCATGTTGTGGAATAAACAATTCTATCATTTTGTGTGGGATCAGTGGTCAAATGGTGACCCCGGTCTCATCCCACCCCCTCCGGGTAGGAAGCATGTTCGGAACCAGCAGTGGAAGCACTTGTACATGGAAGACATTCTCTCAATGCCTGATTCTTGGGAATATCCATTCTTCTGTGCATGGGATACGGCTTTCCATTGCATTCCGCTGGCCATGATAGACCCTGATTTTGCGAAGAAACAGCTGGACCTTCTCACCCGTGAATGGTACATGCATCCGAACGGGCAGCTCTCAGCGTACGAATGGAACTTTGGTGATGTGAACCCACCGGTCCACGCGTGGGCCACGTTCCGGACATTCAAGATCGAGCGGAAGATGTATGGCCGGCAGGATCTTGATTTCCTGGAACGAGTCTTCCAGAAGTTGTTGCTTAATTTTACGTGGTGGGTCAACCGCAAGGACTCTGAGGGTAAAAATGTCTTTGAGGGTGGCTTCCTGGGCCTAGATAATATTGGGCTATTCAACAGATCGGAGCCTCTTCCTACCGGAGGTGTCCTAGAGCAGGCTGATAGTACAGGCTGGATGGCATTCTATTGCCTGTGCATGCTGAACATTGCCCTCGAACTCGCCAAGCACCGGCGGATCTACGAAGACAGTAAGCATACTATATTCTAAGACTTTCATCGGCTAACAAATGACGCACAGTTGCATCTAAGTTCTTTGAGCATTTCATTTTGATCAGTGATGCCATGACATTCAAGTCCGGGGGGCAGGAGACGTCCCTTTGGAATGAGGATGATGGGTAAGCCGTGTCTACCTCTACTTATATATCTATCAATTGCTTACCCTGGGTAGATTTTACTACGACGCAATCTCCTATGGTGATCCTTGGACACAACAGCTTCCCGTTCGATCACTCGTCGGCCTGATCCCTCTGTACGCGGTTCTCACCCTCGAACCCGAGCTGATCAACAAGTTCCCCTCATTCAAGAAGCGATTGGAGTGGTTTGTTGAAAATAGACAAGATGTGGCAGAGCGCAACATTGCTAGTATGAAGCACCGTGGCAAGGATGAACGGCTCCTCCTGTCCCTCGTGAGCAAGAGCCGTCTGGAGCAGATCCTCAAAAGGATGCTGGATGAGACGGAATTCCTTTCGGAGCACGGCATTCGATCCATGTCAAAGCACCATGAGGAACATCCATATTCAATGGAGGTGAACGGCCAGATGTTCCGCGTCAGCTATGTCCCTGGTGAGTCTGACAGCGCTCTCTTTGGTGGTAACAGCAACTGGCGGGGACCGGTATGGCTGTGTGTCAATTTCCTGCTCGTCGAGTCTCTGCTACGATTCTACATGTTCTACGGCGACTCATTCAAGGTGGAGTGCCCCACGGGCTCTGGAGAGTATATGCATCTAGGACATGTGGCGGAGGAGATCCAGCACCGGCTACAGCACTTGTTTGCGCGCAACGATGAAGGTCGCCGTGCCGTCTACAACGGCTCTGACCTTCTCGACTTTGACGAGCACTGGAAAGACTACATGTGGTTCCATGAGTACTTCGACGGTGACACTGGTCGGGGTCTGGGAGCATCTCATCAGTGTGGATGGACCGGGTTGATCGCTAAGATCATCCACGATACGGGGTAAGCTATGCGACACTAATCAATGTCCCTTTATTACAATGATTCTAACCGAATCAACAGAATCAACTGCCGAGTTCCGCAGACCCCTCGCTCTCCGTTCGCAGCAGCATCGCACTACTTTGACGACATCTTTTCGCGGACAGTGCGACCACGCGGGAGCCGTCGCCCCAGCGTGCGCCGCTCATCCACCAGCCGGTCAATCGGAAACCGCAGTGACTTTGAGTCTGCTTTCACGGGTCGTAGCACACCTGGGCCAGAATCCGCTTTGGATGACGATGAGAAACTCGGCGAGTCAGGTCTGGGACTTGGAGATGACGAACATGTGTCGCAGTACGTGGAGAGTCAGTTGGAACGTGTCCGCAGTCGGGCATCCATGGGAGCGTATGAGGACGAGTTTGAAGCACAGGCTGATCGTGTCCCGAATGGACATTGAGAGATACACTAGACGAGGGAGACTTGCACAGGGGATGATATAGTGCGACGATATGGTTCCATGTTAGTACTGGTTGTGGATACATATGTTGTAGACGGTAGATGATTATATATTCGTTGCAAAGTCACAACATCATGGGCTAAATACCAGCGTATACTCCCTACCACTATGATTGTCTCAATTTTGATGACTGCGTTTCCGAAGCACCGGAACTGAAAAAAATACGACGATAATGAAACTCCTAAAGTATTTCTCAGAGACCTCCCGGTCTACTACTACTTAGTAGTACTGCCAGTACCTAGGAAGATCTATCTCTACCAGAATTCATTCCATTTCATCTAAATATCTATCTAATCATAACAAATCTTTCTTCCCATATTCCTAATACATACTAACCCCCATCGCAGACGCCAACCACATCCAGTAAGTAAACTGATTAGCGCTGCGAAAATCCTTGAAATGATAGGTCATAGTGCATAAATCATATCTTTCTATCACATTCATATCCAAAGCACCATCTGTCCACCATCCACCTCATATTTCATGAACATATTTCATACATAACGTAACATTACGTATCCGTTCAACCCAATCGCTTTATAGATTGATGATCATCTCACAGAGACGAATAAATCAATCAATCTAAGGCAGACGGGACTTGCCCGCCTCCCGGCTCTTAGCGAGAGCACCCATAAGACCGAACTGGCTGGCCAATCCGCTGATACGGTGCGTCGAGTTCAGGTTCTTGACCACCACCATCTGGTAGCAGGTTGCGGAGCCTTGACGGGAGGCGATGACGGACCAGGCGAGGAAGAGTTCCCAGATCTATTATAGTTTGAGAAACGGGGTTAGATGTGTTGAGATGAGATTAAGAAGTAGAGGGGAAGGGTATACGCACCCTGTACCATCTGGGACCGTACTTGGCCTTGATGGCTTCGATGTTGCCGACCCAGTTGCGGTACCATCTCCAGAGGGTGCCGGAGTAGTGGACGCCGACGGTGTCGATACTATTCAAAGGTTTTGATGTTAGTGTTTGTTTGGAGGACGGGGGTTAGGAATGGTGGCTTACCCCTTGACTTCGAAGCCAGCTCCTTCAAGACACTTCACGTAGTACCAGAGGGGAGTAGAAGCGTCGGCACCACGGAAGATATACTTGTTCAGATACAGACCCCAGATGAAATCCTCATACTGCCAAGCCTGTCTCAGACCCGAAAGCTGCACATACATGCATCCATCATCGTTAAGCATGTCATAGCATTGGCGGAAGAATCCAGTAAGCTTGCGAATACCGACGTGCTCGCCCATTTCCAGCTGAGTGATCTTGTCGTACTTCGTGCGGGGGATATCACGGTAATCCATGCAGACAATGCGGCTCTGTTCCTCGGAGATGCCGGCCTTGCGGAGAGCATCGTTACCCCAGGCAGTCTGGTTCTCAGCAATGGTGAGACCGGTCACCTTTGCGCCGTAGTTAAGACTGGCGAACTTGGCAAGGGTACCCCAGCCGCAGCCAATGTCCAGCATGGTCTCGCCTTCCTTGAGGCCGATCTTCTCACAAACAACGGCCATCTTGTTATCCTGCAGTTCCTCGAGGGTTTCTTCACGATCGGGGTCGGAGATGATTCCGGAGGTGTAGATCATACGAGGGCCAAGGAACCAGGCGTAGTGGTCGTTACCCCGGTCGTAGTTGGGACGGATTTGCTCCTCATCCTGGGCCTTGGTGTGGAAGAGCACATCGACGAAGAAGGTGCCGACGATGAACTTGAACAGGTCCAAGGTGAAGGCGAAGCTGGCCCAGTCGTGGCGGTATTCCAGGATCTCGAGCACATCGCCATTGAAGTCAACCAGGCCGTCCAGGTACATTTCCGAAAAGGTCTGCATGGGGATCTTGTTGCGTCCGCTCCATTTCGCACGGTCTTCGTCGCGCTTGAAGGTGATGTAGTGCTCAACGGGGCGGCCGGGGAGCTTGACTTTCTCGTTGGTGCGGGGGCTGAAGGTGGAGGTGTAGGTCCAGAAGGCCACGAGGACAGGGAGAACGGTTACGAGAGTGAAGAAGATGAAGGTTTTCTTTCCACCACCGAGCAGGTAGGTCAGAAAGCCAGGGACTCCGATGATGGCGCCGCCCAACAGGAGGTTGGAGAAGCTCTCGTTTCCAGGACCATCTGCCGGCAGGGGAGGATTGTTAATGCTCTTGGCCTTTGGGAAGAAGTCAGCACGGTTTTGGACAGGTTGGCAATACGCCAGCAATGGGAATGGAGGAATTGACTGACATTGGTCAGGGCGATTCCACAGCTCTCGCCGGTTTCAAACTTGGGAGGAGCTTGGGCGGGAGTTTCGATCCATTGGATGTCGTCGGACAGCTCGACATCTTTAGATTTGGTCGTCATGGTCAATTGATACCCTGGTCACGGGTTATCTTGGTTGGGGGACTGGGGACGAGGAGAGGAAGAAAGGACATCTGAAGGGAGGACACTTGTTTCATAAGTTAGGATGCCGCGTCGATCGTCCCGTGCCGTGTCCCCAGTTGCCCGCGGGCCCCGAACACAACCAAACTGAATCCCCCTTCAATGCGCATTTTTCTTCGTAGCTGCTGCATAAATTACTTATTGGTCGGATATTTTGGATGTTAATTAGAGAGTACAGTAGTTTACAGATATTATTCAGCTGTCAAACTACTAGTGAGAACCCGCACAGTATGTATGTTCTGCCAAAATGGGTGATATAAAACTCAATTCTGTCTATTCGACTCCAGAACTAGAGCTCATGCTAGCAAGAAATATAGAGGATGAATGAGGTAGATCGATTCGGTAGGGGTACAGGGAGTTGATATAAACTAAATATGGAAGCTCAAGAGACGCCTAATGTGAACATGTGCATCCCTCTTGTGTTTTAGGTGGATTCTTTAGGTAATTTACAAAGCGTCGGTGAGGGCCTTGTTGAGCTTGGCAATCTTGGAAGAGACGCTGAGGTCGATGGTGCGGTCACCGATCTCAACAACCAGACCGCCGACGAGCTCGGGGTCGACCTGTTTTCAACATATGAGTATACATGGCATAAATCGGGATATCATGGATAATGTACCTTGGTGACAACCTTGAGCTTCTTGCCCTGGCTGAACTCGGACTTGGAAACGGCCTTCTCGAGACGGTTGACAGTCTTGGTGTCGAGCTCCTGTTTCCCAGCAATCAGTATAAAGCCCCACAATATAAAAGCCCAAAAGAAGAAAGTACCTGAGCACTGGTGATGTTCAGCTCAATCTCACCACGGTGAGCACCCATAAGGGTGGAGAACTTGTCGCAGATACCCTCGAGGAGACCGAGACGGTTGTTCTCAGCCAGAGTAGCGAGGAAGTTCTTGAGGATGTCGCCCTTGTCGGCACCGGCAACCTTCTGCAGCTCCTGGACGATCTGCTGCTTGTCGGCGACAGTGAGGGTAGGGGCGGAGAGGATGGTGGTCAGCTTGCGGTCGGCCTTGAGGGTCTGACCGAGGCTGGCGAGAGCCTTGGAGGTCTGGTCGAGGCTGGCGGACTTGGCAGAGGCAGTGAACTATATAGAGAAACGCAAACGATCGGTTAGCCAGGGAGCTTTCCTGAAGTTGTCCAGTTCTGGGATCATGAGGTTGCTAGAACGTGGGAATCTCTGTTTTTGTTTTCTTAGGTCTCCCGTCCGCCTTTCCCCCCTCTTTCTTGTTTCTTCCTTTCTTCCGTGCCATTGAATCAAGGGAACCTCAGGAGCCACGACTAGCAACCAACGGGTAGGAACATGGTATCGCATACCAGAGCGGTGGCATAGGTGCCGTCAACACCGAACAGGGAGACAGGAGGCTTGACATCCTGGGCCGGGGTGGCATAGGTCCTCAGACCGTTGACGGCGGCAGTGCGAGGCACGGAGAACTGCTGGGCGGTGGCACGGAGGCCGGCACGGGCGACGCGAACGGAGAACATGGTGATCTGGATACGGAGACCTCGAGGAGGAGAGGAGGAGAGATTAGATGCGAGACGGACGGGGCGTCGGGGAGGGGATTGAGCGAGCAGCAACGGGCTGGTGGTTCGTCGTGCTTTGGGATGGACGGGCGACGTCCAACTTCTGCCGGCTAGCGGTCACGTGAGATCCCGCACACGCCGGGTTTTCGGCTATCCACTACTGCGAGTGACTTGATCCTTGAAGATCTTATCGTGATTGCGGTGCTATACTTGGGAACAATTTTCCAGACTTCATTCCTTGATTCGTGTCTCAAAATGCAAATTACAGTCGCACACGCTATGTAACGCCAGAGTGCCTCTACGAGTGAAATGCGCCCTCCCGAATGCCAACACCCGAAACGCCATCCTCTCAACCTCTTTTCTTCATGGTCGTCTAGCCATTCGACCGATTTGATCTCTAGTCACTGCGCAGCATGCTATCCACAAGATCTCCCAACGGACCCCAGAAATCCTTCCCGCTGGCCAGACGGTGCTCGTCAATGAAGAGCACGTAATGCTTGAAGCTGGTATTTAGATGAGGCTCCAGTCCGAGATGGACCACAACCGGGTAGTGGTGGCAGTAAATGTGCGCATATACGCGATACATCCGCTTAAAGATCTGGCGCACGAGGCTCGGGAACACCTTGGGGAAGGGGACACCTGTGAGGTAGAAAGCTGTATTAGCGCCTGCTCACTGCACTCGTAGTTTACGTAGTCTGCTCTCAAGGCACTCTCTCAAGGTGTGACTTACCAAGCCTGCTGGGGAAAATCTGTTCGTTGTCGATACTGCTTTGTACCCAACTCATCAGATGTTCGATATATTCTGGGGCCGACATCTTCGTTGGTCTCTTGTAATTTTCCGAATCTTGCCAGAGATATTCGAATCTGGACGTCCATCGTCAGCACTACATTGCCTTGACCGGTATCGGGGATAGCTCCGTACTCATCAGTTGCCTTCATTTCCGGACATGATTGCGGAGAACAGAATTCTGTGATCGCGCCATAGAGCAGGTTGATCTGGTTGTAGAAGTCGACCACTGTTGCACGTTGGACCAAACTGTTAGCATGGCTTCGATGATACTGCTGCTGCAAGCCTCCAGCGTAAGTTTACCATTAACTGCAAGCCACTCATTTAAATCCTCGCCTTCTGGAAGCTTCACTGCCTTCCGCAAGCTTCCACTTCCCAGGGTTGCTTCCGCGAACTGTCTCAGTTGATAGCTAGTGGTGCCCTTGGCTGCCGACCGCGGCTTGAAGGGAGCTCGGGTCCGAGCGTTGCTGGGAGGTGTCAGTCCAGCGGGATCATATTTCAGGGCGCGTACTGCCGGGGATAGATATGAGGGGGGCTCAGAGAAGGGACCAGGGAAAGTTTGAACGGTGCCATAGCAAACTGAAGGGGAGATGATGGACGGAGAGGAGGGGAGCGAAGGTTGGGGAGAAGATGAGGATGGCGGGGCAGGCTGTCCAATATCGGACGAAGCAGTAACAGAAAGGATGGGGACAGACATGGTTGTGATGAAGGATGCCATCTCCTTGCGAATTTCTTTTCTTTTCTTTCCTTTTGGTTCCTCCCTTCAGTCAAATACAAAGCCACGGGCGCTTTTCCGGTGTTCGTGGTCAAAACGAGGTGTTGTGTAGAGTTCCGTTGGAAGAATGCGCCTGCATGCCGATGCCAACCAAGTCAGCGCCTGTCAGTCAAGTTTACGGGCTCAACAGTGAGAAAATCTGGCCAAAAGTGATCCTCCATGTCTTAATGTCTTACCTCTTTAGGGATACCTGAATCAGGACAATAGTAGCACGCGCCGATGAGGGGGAAGCAATAGACCGGCCGGCGGAATGAGTGGAGGGACAAGAGGGTAGGTAGTAGGAGGCGAAAGTTGGAGTATCAGCGATGGAGCCGCTCTGACCAAGTGCAGACAGGCGCGACAGCAACCTCAGGTAATGAAAACAAAGCACAAGGAACACACACACAACTGCAAACGAGGGGCGATGAAGGGCGATCTATATCGATCGCATTTCCGGCCTGCCTTCTCCACGATCCCACAAGCGGAACCTCCCCCCCAAGGACCGGATCCATGGGTGCTGCAGCGTCCAGGGTGGCAATCGCCCCGTCCGTTGCCCCGGCGACATCAGCCAGCCGCAAGGAAACCGGTCCTTTATTACATCGTCAAGGTTGTAGTGGATATTCTTCAATTTTATTACGTAGGTAGGCTGCCGTTTGATGGCATAAATTGTTGGAATTGTGAAAAAATATTAGATGATACCTAGGAGTCTTCAAGTCTGCTGTGGCCGTCGTATTCGCCGTCATAGCAAAACAAAACCCTCCACCGGGTCGGTGAACCATTCAGAAGACGACTGACTGATGGAACAATAGATGTGGCTTGTTAATGAATGCGCCAAGCTATCCCAGACATGATTCATATGGAGTATCCTTCATTCTCCTCGGGCAATCGCTCCCGGACTGTCTCTCCGTAAATCGTGATAGGGATGGCGATTTCGAACGATTCGCAGCCCAAGTTCTCTAACGCGGACATGATGCGCCCGCGATCGTCTTCCGATACGGTCTCGAGCAGCCGCGCTCCCGAAGGGGCTGAACCATCGTGGATACTGCTAGTGACAAACTCGAACCGTAATTCCCACTCATGATTAACCCCCGTGGTTATGACGGTCGGCGTCGCCGATACCGGAACAGCCGGACTGAAAACCACGCGCGTTGCATACAGGGTGTTTTCAAAATAGGAGGCATGTATCTTTCGAGTCGCACGACGGATGCTGGCGTTTGATCGCACCGCTAGATGTCCTGCCACTCTCTCTGAACTTTCTAATGTCGCCCGCAGAGCGTAGCAGGGAAGTGCCGCGTCTGCAAAGTTGACGGTGGCGATGATGGTTTCGCCTAGCCTGTGCGCCGGACGGTTGAGTACCACGACAGCAATTCGGCGCCCGTCTCGGGCAATCTCAAACCGGTTAGGACTGCGCGAGGAACCGAGCGCCTGGTTGCTTCGGAGAATGGCAAGATCAATAGCGTCCTTGCAAGTGAGGTGCCCGGTAGATGTGTCGCGACTTGCGCGCTTCTCGGGCGTCGCTTCGGGCGGTTGCAGTGAATTCTGGCGTGCACTCTGCTCCAGGATGTCATCCACATACGACAAGAAATCTGGGGCTGACGTCCACGTCGGCCCACTGATGCTTTTGGGCTTGGCTGCCGGCGGCGGGGTAGGGCCAACCTTCTGCACTCGCGCCTCGTCGCGAAGGAGTACATACGGGCTCATCAGGTCATGACCCATTATCTCCCCATGGCCTATTGAAGAGATTAGTGAGAGTTTGGTACCAAGGGAAACGACGGCAAGCTCACCATTGACGCCGCTGAACACGCGGAAGGGTATGCTGATACGGTTGACCCGTTGGGGTTCATGATGGCCACTCGGCCGCTGTGTACCAATGACGAGATTGTAAGAGACCTTAATAGCTTTCCCCTTATGGCTGGCTGGAAGACCCGATGGCAGGGTAAACGTAAAGGAGTAAGACTGCTCTTCTCCCGGTGCCAGTCGTAGGTCCACGAAGAGAAGGGACTGGGTAGTAGACAGCAATGGTATGGACTTCGAAGACGAAACTCCTCGCATATCTCGTAGGCCATCCAACTCATTATTGGAGAGTAAACCGCTCAGAGACTCTTCGATCGCATTCCATTTGAAGGCGCCCCAGAAACCGCCGCCTTTGCGATTCTTATCGCTGTTCATAGCCGGTTTCCCACTGTTCATACCCGGCGCAGACCCTGCACCACCGACAACACCTTTTCGCTTCACTTCCTCGAAATGTGACTGATGGATCAGCGAACCGTCAACAGTGAACGATGCACTGATCTGGGCATAGCCCATGAGTAGAGTCTGGCTCTTGGGCATTACTCCCGGAGACTCAATACTCGACATGTGTCGTGCGTGACGAGGAATATTCTGGCGCGGCATCGCCATTGAGTAGTTGGTGTACTCGGATTGAAGAGTTTCTGAAGAATTGTCGCTGACAGAGTTATACTCGTTGCTGCTTCTATGACTACCAGTGAGGCTGGAGGTCGACATGATCCTGGTGAGTTGAGGCAAATGGCCCGGGGCAGCTAATGTGGCCGATTCCCTTCCATTGGGCTTCGTCTGTCCAGGACCCTCTTCGAAGGGTGTTGCGAGAGGTGATAGAGTAGGGCGAGACTGTGGATCAGTCCCCGGCGAAGGTGGAAACTTGAACTCGATGGGTGGCAATTGAGGCCGACGCGCAGGTGTACGAGGTGACTCAAATGAGGGCTGGGAAGTAGGTCCTCCTACATCATCAATGTCTATCCGTGGGTTTATAGGAGACGAAGTGACCGGGGACTCCGGGGGTGGAAAGCCACGGTACGTGTTGCGTCCTGCTAGCAATTGACGGTAGTCAGCCTGATGATCGATCAATTCCCGATCGCGCTATTCATTGAAGGTACCTTTTGCAAACGAATCCTCATAGAACTCATTCCTCCTCGGAAGAACCTGTAGACTCGCAGCGCGCCCATGGCCCCTAACCGGCCTCGACCGACTGAACTGTGAGGATGTTCTGGGAGTCGGTTCTCCTGTTGTTTCGCTATCGATAGAAAGAATAGATACTGAGCGTTTGTGCTTTCCACCAGCAGGTGGACCGCTGCGAGGGGTGGACGGGGGCGGAAAGCTGTGAGAACCGATCAACGGTGAGCTCACTGATGAGGACGGGCGATGCGACGGGCTCTTCTTGGATACGCTAGAGTATGAGCGGCGGTGTGGACTGAAGAAGAATTTCTGAGGTGACCTGAGCGAAAACAGTGACTCTGAATGTGAGCTGGTAGCTCGCGATGGATGTCTCTGATGCGAGGACTGCCCCCCGTTCCGGGGTTCTCCGTTCGTCTCCGCAACGTTCTTGAAGGTAATGATACATTCCACATCTTCCCCGGCGAATATCGTTTGATCCTTCCATTTCACGAAAACCTGGATGTCTGAGGGCATGGCGACGATCGCAAGGCCACCATGTGGGCGGGTGACCGCAGACAAGAATCACGAAGGTCCGGGGTAGATGGCGGGTACCAGCCGCCACCAGAACGAGGGCTTGAAGTAAAGATTGGCAAATATGATACACTGAGAGAAAGGGTAATCAACGCCAGCTAGGGCATACCATTAAATCGTGTAAGCCATAATCGTTGGAGGATGTGGAGGGAGGAAGGACACAGAGCGGGTGCCATAACGTTCTTGTCGGGGTGAGGACGCGCTGGTGGTGGTTGGTGGTGCACTACGGCCGACGGGAGGGAATTGCAATCCCATGACGAACCACGTAGAGAAGCTGTGCCCCTCGACATATGATAGATATGCTGTCGGACTCCCGGTTAGGATCTTCTTCCAGTCCGGAGAAAAGCAAAGTTGATCTATATCCATTGTCTAGTTCCGGCTGAGGGATTCCTTTATCCCCGCAAATCAATTTCACTTTTGTGAAACTGTATGTTACAAATGACGGCACTCCTGGCCATACAACCTCGGATCGGAGGACTTGAGAAAGCTTTCGGAGAACAAAGAAAAGAAGCAAATTCTCCACAAATTCAATCCACAACGCCTCTTCTGTGCTATTTAATACAAACAAGATATAGCTCGTATAGTACATGTGATAATATACATGGTGACTGCCGGTACAGGCTCGTCCATCATTACTTACGCCTTTCCCCCTTTCTTCTGGTTATTGCCATAGAGCAGTTGCTTTGCGTCTGTCAAATCTCGTGTGCGCTTCGTACTTGGTCGTAGGCCGAGTTCCGATAAATGGCCCCAAATTCGATCATGTCGCTTCTCCCATCTCTTCCGTCGGTCTTCGATTTCGGGCTCAGAAGGCCTCCATTTGCTCTTCAATATCCGCCGAATTGCCTCCGGTGAGACCTTAAATTCTTCCGCAAGAACCGGTGTAGTGAACTTTTCCGGTGCGACCGCGTGAAGGTGTCGAATACCCTCCAGCGCATCGGGAGAAAGCTTCTTTGGAGGGTTCCATCCCTCTTTGAATTTCTCTTTCAGGGCTTGTTTATGAATCTGCCATTTCTCCGGTTTCTTCTGGGCCATGGGATTGGAAGGGGGTTCTTCATGGCGTGAACGTTTCTTCGATCGAGACGATTTGGTAGGCTTCTTATCGGTAAATGTATCGGAGGTAGGTATCTCAGTTATGGAGTCCACATGGCTGGTTTTGAAGTCATCCACTTCTGGCGATGCATTTGCTTCGGTCGAGGCAGATGGTTTATTTTCTGGGCTTTCCAGCGGCGCGGTATTAAAAGGAGCTGAGGCGGCAGAGGAGGAGTCATGTGCTGATAGATATGTCGCGGATTGGCAAAGCTGGGGTTTAATAGAAGCGCTGAAGTTCCGTCGTTGCGTTTTGCATCTGGTATGAGAGAGAGGCGTTATGGAGAGGATTCTCCGAGATGCGGGACCCTGATGGAAGTCCGAGGCGATTTCTGAACGAAGAGCATTTCGCAAGACATTTGGGAGGGAGAGTTTGAGGGATGAAGCACAGACACCTGCCATGGTAAAGACCTAACAGAACAAAGTTCCTTGAATAAAAGAGAGAGATGGAAGCTGGGGAAATTCTCCCGGACACTAAGAGACTTGCAACTGCAGAGAGACTTCTGGAAGAGGCCTAGAAC